GTCCTCTCTCACAGGCACTGTGATGTCTCCGCCCTCTGCAATAGCCTGGGAAGTTCCCGATTTTCACCAGAGAACTTAGGAGGAGTTAGCTTGATAAAAGAGCAGTGTTTAGGAAGGTGAAAGTGAAACTAAAAACACAGTCAGCTATTGCCAGTCGTCTAAGGTGGAGTCATCTTTGTAGATTCCTGGGAACTCCCCTTGCACTCTGTTTCTCCCTGTTCCTGTAATGTCCTCATTTATCATGGTATCTCTTTGCTCTCCCACTCTGTCCCTGTTCCAGCTAGAACCTCCTGTTCCCTTAAGTTCTCATCTCCCATCCCTTGCCCTCCATTACCCCCTCTCCCCCCAGTTTGCTCATGTAGATCTCATCTATTTCTTCTTCACTGGGCGATCCATGTGTCCTTCCTAGGGTCCTCCCTGCTAGCTAGCCTCCCTGGAGCTGTGGGTTGCAGTCAGGTTATCCTTTGCTTTTACATCTAGTATCCATTTATGAGTGAGTACATACCATGTTTGTCCTGAGTCTGGGTTACCTCACTCAGGATGAACTGGCCAACTCTGGTGATAAGATATCCTAACTGTCATCATAGAGCTCTCATCCAGTGACTGATGAAAGCAGATACAGAGAGCCATGGCCAGGTGCAAGGCCAATCCCAGGAGTCCAGTCAATGAGAGAGAGGAGGGATTCTATGAGCAAGGGACATAGAGATCAAAATGGGAAAATGTACAGAGAAGACCAGCCAAACTAGTGGAAACGCATGAACTGTGGACCAATCACTGAGGAGCGCCCCCCCCCCCCCCCCCCCGGAACTGGACTAGGCTCTCTGGATAGGTGAGACCGTTGTTTAGCTTGAACTGTTTGGCTCAGGGGGAGGGAGGCAGGGGATTGGGGCCTATCTTTGGTGCATGAGCCAGCTTTTTGGAGCCCAGTACCTATGGTGGGCAATTTTGCCCAGCCTTGGTGCTGGGAGGAAGGGCTTGGACCTGCCTCATATGAATGTACCAGGCTCTGCAGACTTCCCATGGGAGACCTTGCTTGGAGGAGGTGGGAAGAGGGGGTGGGTTGGAAGGGAAAGCTTGGGGGCAGGAGGAGGGAGGAGAGGGGAATCTATGGTTGGTATGTAAAATGAATGTAAAGTCTCTTAATAACAATAATTTTAAAAAAACTTTATAAAAAGAAAGTAAAAAACACTGAACAGGAAGAAATGACTCAACCGATTGACAGGAGTGAGGGATATGCTGATGGGAAGGCCTCAGGAGTTTCTCAACTTGAGAATGATAAACGGTGCAGTTTAACTCCAGAGTCTTTGTGGATGTTTAGGAAGCTAAGGTGATGCATTACTGAAGAGGGTGTGTTCTGAAGTCACCTTTCTCCTGTCACCTTTCTGTCCTGTTTTGGTCTGTTAGTGTGTGTTTTGTGAGTTGCCTGCCCCACTGAGCTGCACAAAGGTAGCAAGAGATTGTGCAATCCAGAGTTGATTTTGTTTAAAAATCGTTTCTTTATACTGTGAAAGCACAAAGATGGAAAGAAATAAAAAGTTAGAGTGAGAGGGAACCATGAGGGAGGAGGGTGAAAAAGAGGGGGGAGGAAGGAGACAGAAGGGAGGAAGGGAGGGCAGGAGAAAGGGAGAGAAAGTATTACTGAAAGTGAAAGTGAGTCTGAGTTTTTTTACACATATCAAATGCTGGGAAATCAGCTGGTATATTTTCCTTTTGGACTAGTGAAATCTGTAGCAGGAATTTTAAAAGTTCTTATTAATAAAATCAAACCTGAGGCCAGTTATTGGGGTGAATACTGGAAGGTCAGAGAGACAGAACAAGCCACAGCTACCTCACCTGGCCGGATCCTCAGCTGGTCTTGTTTCCTCTGACTGGAAGCTTCTGTGTGCTCATCCCAATGGCTCTCAGCTGAACTGCTGCTGGAAAGCCTGAAGCTTAACCAGCCACAT